AATAATAATAATACTATAACAACTAAGTCTGGCCTGAACTTGGATCTTTTTTGTGTGTTATTTGGGCCTTTTAGTCTTTAATAGGACTGATTTTAAAACTTGCACATTTCAATCATCCAAATCCAAAGCATCTTGTTTGGTTTAAGCTGACAGAATCTGAACACAGACCTGAGTGGTGAGGGTCTCCTCTGTGACCACCTTCAGCGTGTCGACCACAGAGATGTAGCCGAGTCTCCTGGCGATGGACAGAGCGCTGTTTCCATTCTGGAAGCATCACAAAAAAATAAACAAATAAATATTTCCTGTGAAAATAACATTGTGAATGCTGAGCACTGAATGAAGAAATTTGCTGAATTTGTTTAAAAAAAAAAAAACACAAAGCAGAACATTAGCTAAAAGCTAAAAGGAGCAAAGTGCTAGCTAAATGTCACATGCAGCAAAAGCCTCACGAGAAATTAAAGTAGCAAACAGGTAACTAAAACCTAAAAGTAATACAACAGTAGCTAAAAATAACAAAAAACTAACTAGAAGCTAAATGTAGCAAATAGTAGCTAAAAGCTTACAGTGGCAAAAATGAACACWAAGACATAAAAGCAGATTAATAAGTAAAGTACCAAAAAGCTAGCAAAAGCTATAATTAGCAAAAGGATAATAAACCTTAAGTAACAAAAGCGTGGCTAAATGTGAAAAGTGGCAAAAGACTAGTGAGAAACTAAAAGCAGCAGAGTGTTAGCTGAAGGTTAAAATTACAAAATGCTAACTAAAAGCTAAATTTAACAAAAAGATAGCTAAAAGCTAAAAATATCAAAAGAAAAGCTAGAAGTTTAAGTAGGAAAAGGCTAACTAGAACTTTAAATAGCAGAAATATAGCTAAAAGCTAAAAGTAGCAAAAGAAGACAAAAATAGAGATAATATAATGGAGCAATTTCTAGAAGGAATTGAACTAATTTCCATGTGAAATTCTAAAATCAAAGTATTTATAAATGAAGGAAACTTTCTTAAAAGGCATGAAAATTACAAAAAATACAATTCATAGAACTTCTTGAATGAGTTAACTGTTTTTGTATAAGAAAAACTAAGATAGTAGTAAAAACAGGAAAACAGTGAGCAACAGCTCAGGAAACAGTTCTACACAGTTCACTCTGAAGACTTTAAAAAAGAGAAAACTTGTTTTTTTTCCTGATTGTACTGACAGCAGTGAGCTCGTTGGGCGACGCTCCGTGATGCAGCAGTAAGTTGATGATGTGTGTGTGTCCCTGCTGTGCAGCYTGATGCAGAGGTGTGTAACCATTCTGCAGAGGACAGAGGAGGTTACACATCAAACCTAAAATACAGACATTTTACTGTAAACACAGACGATCTTTACAAAAAGGGGCTTACCTTGGTTTTTGTGTTGACCTTTGCCTGGTTCTTTAGCAGAAAGTTGACCATTTTCACATTGCCATAGTGGCAGGCCACGTGGAGAGGGGTGTATCCCAACTGATGACGCACAAAACAGCACATGCAAAATGTCACATTATGCAAATTCTAACAAAAWATGTGCCAGAAGGAGATGATGCTGGACTTATGTTTGAGAATTTTAGCCGTTTTTGGCTCCACTTCAAACTCACTTTGGTCTCGGGGTCTATAACTGCTCCTTGGTTGACTAAAACCTCAGCGACGTTGACTTTATCCTCCTGGGCAGCCAGGTGGAGTGGAGTCAGACCAGACTGAGGATCCAAACACAGAGATAGGATGAAACAGTTTAGCTGGAGGGAAACAGCTGTTAAAACATAAGATAAGGGGTTTGCATATCAGGCTGACAAATGATCAGGAAGAGAAAACATCAACTGTCCAAATAATAGTCTCAGGTAAAGATAATGATGGTTCCTGGCTGTTGGATATGTGTTTACGCTGCAGACACGCCCTCGCTCCGCCCCGCGAGCGTCGCACCTTGTTGTTCATGTTGACGGGAGCGTCTCGAGCCAACAGCAGCGTCACGATGTCCACGTTGCCTTCCTGCGCCGCCAGGTGCAGGGGGGTGATCCCCTGCCGGGTCACGGCGCTGGTGGAGGCGCCGTACTCCAGTAAAGTGGTGGTTATCTCCATCTGGTTCTTCTTGGCTGCGATGTGCAGGGGAGTGTATCCGTTCTGGAAACGGAAGAGGAGAGAYGATCCCTTCACTTGCAGCCAACTCGTGAACTCTTAGGATAAATTAATGGAGCCGAATCGGCAAATCTTTTACACTTTAAATAAAATAAAAGAGTGCTGACTGTCGTTAATTAAATTGTAACTCTGAGGCGGTCTGAGAGGATTTAATGCAGCTTATTCAAAACAGATGTTAAAAAAGAGGAGCAGAATATTGCTTTTGCTTATTTCTACTTTTTACATTTTTGCATGTAATGTTTTTCCTGTCGTCCAACGTTTGCTGCTCAGTGGGAACTAGTTGTTCACCACAGGGGCTGTATTTCACTTAAACAAAAAAAAAAAAAAAACATTTCCTGATTCGATCCAACATTCGATTGTGTCAGGAGGTGGAGATTAGCTGCTTTCTGGGGCGGCTCGTTGTCAGCAGAGGAGATATTGAACCGGAGCTCAGTTGACCCTAACTGGGTCAGACCCGGCCTCATCCTGACCCACAGAGACGACACGCTCTGGAACAATCCATTTAAACTGGACACGCTCGGCCCTGACCGACTCTTACCTTTGCCGCGGCGTGAGGAGACGCTCCCTGTTTGAGAAGGAGCAGCGCCACCTTCTGGTTATCATAGTGCGCCGCCACATGCAGTGGAGTTAGTCCACTCTGAACACACAGACATGAGCAGCTGTTAGACGGTGACATTCAGAGCAGAGAGGTGAGGTGGGAGCTTCATGACCTAGGCATCTTAAAGGAGACATATCATCTTTTAAAGGGGTCRTTATAAAGTGGAACTGCAACGTTTTGGTCTGAATGGTGCTCTCCACGCTTTCTCATGTGCGTACAAACTCTGGTAGCAGCTACTTGTTTTATGAAAACATAAATTTACGCAACTCACCTTCTATTTCATACTACAAAAATATTGACATGGTTGTCAGTCAATTCTAT